TGTCATTCTTCCGGACTCTCCACCACGTTTTTACCACCCTTTTCTTCTAGTGGAGTTTGAGAGTCCTTACCACTTTTCAGTTCCAAGCTGCTGGGGTGGTGGACTATGGAGACATCCTCCTGAATTATTTAATGAAATACAAACAAATATAGAAATGATTATAAAACCATTCAGTTTAGAATAGGGTGGTGGTGTTCTGCTGGTGTAGATGATCTGATATCCTCCAATATGAAACATAAAAACAAATGGGGGTGAAATGTCAAAATTGCAGTTCACTCCTTTGATTGAGGTCCCTCATTCTACCCACACATGGATATTGGTTCCCAGTGGCTGGGTTTTGAATTTAAAGTTGAACCAATCAACACAAGTCTTCACACATGTATTACAGATGTCTATATTCCTCCCCTATTTATACTCCATCGATATTGTGGGTCATGGTAGAGGTAATTGCGGATTATTACGAATCTTTCTCATCCACTATCCATTGATGGTTCTTATTCCGAGGATGTTAATGTGCTTGAGGTGGTTCCGGTCAATTTTACTTTTGAAGAAGATGGTTGAAATTATTTTAGACATTTTTTCAATACTGTATGTTGGATTCTCTCATTTTAGGGAGTGTCCTTTGGATGCTTTTGAAGGATGCTTCTTTCTTTCCCTTGAACCAGTCCCTCTACCTATTCAATGTGAGATTCTAGCAATTGATGTGAGCGGAGTTAATGTACCACATCAGAAATTATAATTTTTTTACACTGAAAATGTATTTCCAACAGGTACTTATCTTCCCTCACACTTCCCACCCTTCTTACCCACTGAAAACCAGTGCTTATATCTTCTGCCAAAACTCGAAGTGATAGTTTGGTAGAATTGAATAGAGGGAGCCACATGCATCATGAGAGTATGTCACACTCTTTATTTGTGGAGGGTTGACACATCATGATTTGCATGAGAGATGCATTGGAATCAGTCAATTCTGATGGAAGGGAGATAGAAGGCTTGTGGCATGCATAAAATGTTTCTTAGCATATAGAGGGCAGAACTGAATGAGAATAGCTATTTATATGACAGGAGGCAAGTACCCATCTGAAATACATTTTCAGTGTAGGAAAATTATAACTTTGGTCAGTTGAGCTGGACAATGAGAGATATAAGATACTCTGAAACTTTATTTATGTATGTGGAAAAAAAAAACATTTCAATTAATGTTATTTTTATCACAAATTTTAAGCTAATTGGTTCTAATTCTTTGCTAGGTCTTGGTGTATAAATCATAATGATCAATAGCTAATATTTATATTATGCAACTTATTAGTTTTAACATAATAAATTTTGGATATTTATGCTAATAATAGAATTGCTGTAATTTACATTTAAGAATGTAGAACACTATCAAGCTTATTATTAAATGAGACTGCTTTAACAAAAAATAGTAAGGAAATAAAGAAACAACAGAACAGGCTTACTGCTACTGTATAACATCAGATTATGCACACACACACACATTTTGTTTTATATAGACATCAAGTCAAATAGTTCATAATATCCAAGCTGGTGAAGTATAGTATAATCCTATTCAGAATAATTTGAGTAACAATACACCATAATAAAACTAATAATTTTTATTGCTACATTCTTTAAAAAAATATTATCTTTATCAAGTGCTTACTTTTCCAGTAGCTCTTTGGTAACTATATGAATTAATCAAAATATTTGAACTAAGGCAAATGCATGATGGCTGTAATAAAATACTTTGACTAGTTTATAGATATAGTTTCTGCAGTTAAATTTTACAGGAAATATAACTTAATATAGTGCATGCCTGTCAATCACACAAACCAAGAAAATTAAACAGAAAAACATACAAGTGTTCTTGTCCTGATTTGGAGCCTGGAAACTTGTTATTTAGTTTGCATGTGAACAACACTAAAGGTTCAAGCTAGTCAAGGACATATTGCATCATTTCCCTGCTATCTCTAGTTGGTTGAAATTTCAGTGTACAGTTCTACATGTACATTATATGACAGGAAATTATTTTTATGATCATTCATTTATTGCAATTATTGATCTGATATCTGTGGAGTCACATCTAACTTCCAGTAAGTTAAAGAAAGTGTCTGGTTTAGATAGAAATACAAACATTTTGTTCAGTATGCAGGCGTTTGAAAACTATGTATTTAGTTTGATAAATTATTGTTGAAGTTTTTCAGCCTCATAGCCATTCATAGTTTTTTCTTATTAATTTAACAGTAAATCTAAATTAAAAATTAAGATGATTTTAGGAAGGCCAAATTCTGATATAAAATTATTAGTGAATCACTTGAAGTGTGTGATTATTCTCAGTGGAAAGTCTTCATAGTCCTTTTGTGATTAAACATGGAAGCATATTGATGTATATGAGGTTAATGTGTGCCTATTATATATATTTTCTGTATTTTTACTGATCCTCTTGTTGGTGATTAAATTTAATTTTGTTTAATCAGTGTCATAGTCTTTTTTCAAAATCTTTATTATTTTCAAAATACCAAAATATGTGGTACTTTGTCAGTTAGGATTTTTTTTAATTATATAGGGAGCCATTTTGACTACAATGCTGGCAACTCGTAATTTTTCTAGTGAGTATGATAAATTTGTCATTTTTATCAATTTTTTTAACATAACATGCCTGACAGTTATCAGTTACCAAAAATACCCATATGTATTTTGAAGTAAAAATTTTACACTAAAATATATGTGTAGTACATTAAAAATAACATAATGGGTAACTTTAGCATTCAAATATTAGTATATATTTGCCATCACAAATCTGTTATGATTATCTGTGTTTTGCATCAGTCAGATTTGCATTCATTTTCTAGATCTATATCATTTCAGTAACATTAAAAAGTAGGAGAAATATAAAGCACGCTAAGATTTTTTCAACTTTTTAGTTTCTTCTGATTTCTTTACAAGGAAAATTATTTTAATAACTTATACAACTTGGCATGGGCAGCCACTTATTTCATTGTTTATATTTTATAAAAATTAGAATTGTCCTAGCAATTTATATAATGCAATAAGTATTAAGAGATTGCAGACACAGTTTTATGCTTATGTTTATATGCAAAAGTATTCTTTAATTATTTCCTAATTTTGTTAATGCAAGGTTCATATTATCTTGTTTTATTTAGACTTGTTGTTGGTTTAATACAAACTCATTTATTTGTGTTGTTTGTTTTTAAAGCTTAAGCTGTACTACTTCAATTTTTCAAGTTGATTTAGAAAACTTATCTATAAATATTTTTATATATTCATATTTGTTTGTTTAAAATTATTTTGTTAAATACTCTAAACAAATGCATGAATTTAGCATGTTTTCATTTTCAAACCACACATGCTTTGCTCACAGGCCATATTGCTACAAGTTCAGGTAATTTATATTTCTTTTTTTCCATGTAATTCTCACCAATTTAAATCTCTGATGTAGATTAGGTAAAAGATGTAGAAAAAAGATTTTTGTAGCAGTAAAAACAGGTAACACGTATTGTGTTCCCTACATGAATGGTTGATTCAACACCATGAAATAGGTTTTATTGTACTCTGAGTGAGCATTTTTTGATGAAGTTCAAAATTTTGTGGGGTTGAGACTTGTTTTCAAATTTAGTTAGCCCTTCCTTCATGCTTTCAACTCCCACTAACAACTGCTGTAACATGATTCACATTAACTTTTGTTTTCCTCTCACAATTCTTTAATCACCATACGTTATTAATAAACTGACATCTCTCTTCTCTCATTAGAATAACGTTCTTACACAATCAGCAGTTTAGTTTCCTCATCTCCTGAGCATAACACATCTAATAGTATAATAATGTTCTGTAAGCATAACAAGTGTGCATGGCTTCCTGTATAATAATGAGACATTGTACCAAATCTTTATTTTTCATATTCAAATAACATAATTGTGCATTAGAGACAAGTAGTGCTGATATTTGTTTAGTAGGTATTATTATTCTGTTTTTAAAGTTCTTATTCTAACCATGTTATTTGTATGAAACACAGAATTTATTTTCCACTTTTTTTTTTCATAAAATATTTTTAGGCTATACATTTCAGATTTTTACAGTATCCTATTCCGTGTACCTGACCTATTATTACACATACATGCCATTCTATCCATGCAGAGATTAAGAATTTCTACATCATGTACATTATTTGGAATTAGCTTCCTTAGGTGTAAAATTACCTACATATATCATTTTTTATATTTCTGAAAATTATCTTACAGTTATAATATACATTCATGTAAGTGGTTGAAAATTGATGTTTTTAATTTGCTTTGAAACTTACTGTTTTTATTTGGGGTTATTTTTAGTTTATATGTTGCATAAATGTTTTGTGAATGACAAACTTTAGATGTTAAGAAGTGTTGAAAAATAAGATCATTGAAAGCAAATCATTAAATCCGTTACTTTGATAAGAATGTGTGACATTATTTAACTTTGTTAAAATATCAAATTATTAAATAAATTTTAATAATAGAAACTAGTGAAAAACTTAAGATGATAATTGCTGATTACTTAATACAAAATTTGCTAATAATGTGAAAAAAAGCAGTTGATAATAAGGTTTTCAAAGTGGGAGTTTAACTTCCTGGTCATATATACTTTCAACTCACACTAACAACTGTTGTAAAGTGATGCACTTTCATATGTGTTTTTCTCTCCTAATTCTTCAGTAATCACATATTACTAATAAACTAACACTGTGTATTTGTGTGTGTCTTTCTTCTTTGTATAAACTTGCTAGGTCGTAGCATTATAACAAAGAAAGGGGAAGGATCTCAAGTTAAAGAGTCAACTGACAGCAGCACAACCCTGGAGGAAGAGGATGTAAAAGGTATAGCCTTGTTCTTACTTTTTTTTTTCTTCTTACTTAAATGTTTTTGTCTATTATGAACTTGCTTTTAAATTTTCTTTGTCTTCCCAGACTAAATTTTTTTGTATCTACCATGAACAGCAAATTGTAATCTAGTTATTATCACATTCTACATTGCATAAATATTTTATTTTCTACACTGTTTAGTCATGAGCACAATAACACATCGTATCCGTTGTAACTACCTTCATTTTATTTTTTTGTGCAGTCTGGACTTTTCTATGAATTCTTACTAAGACTTTAAAACTTTTTTTTTAACACATTCTAAATGTTTCTGTATATATCTTTGGCTGTTCTATTTTCTACAGCAACTGTCCTCTTGATGTTTTAAAGTTGTAAAAGGTTTTTGTCATTATACACTTATCAGTACATTTTCCTTATCATATTTTAACTCACAATTGTTCAAGTGTTATTATTCATTGCTATGTATACTATATATATACTAATAAGTAGATGGACACTTATTCCAGCAAGAATGCAGTTTTATTAAATAAGTATGAAACAAAGGGTACAAGATTACCAGTAGTATTTAATGGATCAGCACTTCGCAGTATTTACAAGATCTGAAGACTAACCCTGTATAATTGCACTTTACTCCTGACTAGAAACTTGAATGAGGATATCCTTAGAAGTTGGTTGGTTGGAATGCTTTCTTGGAGAACAATCAAGTGTGGACCATATACGTGTTTAATAAGGCTCATACTTAATGATTGGCCTGATCATGGGGGAGTTATTATGCTCTGACCTTTAGTTTAGCCATCATTTTGGGACCTGTGCTGAATGAGCAGGAGCCTAATCCTGCATGAAAACACTGCCTTGTCTGGTGAGCTTGTTATTAGCATAGGCAGCTAGAAGGCCTTCATTGAAAATTAACATGTATTAGGCAACAGTGGCTTTCTCTTTGAATGCTCCACACTACAAAAGAAATACTACCATATTATGTCATAGCTTGCAAACAATTCAGTGAAAGTTCTTTGGAGGATAATCTTCACACCCAGATACATCCACTATTGAAGAATTCTACAAATTTGGATTTGTTACAAAAAATTGATGCCCTGAAAGGCAGGAGGGTGTGATAGCATCAGTGATGCCCAATGCTGTTGAAGTATGATATTCTCTGGAGTGAAGAATGGTTTCAATCTAGCTACTGTCTGCAACAGTATTGATTGTTTGATGTTAGTAATTCTCCACACTTTTTCTTACAACATAAAGAGCCCTTTATGTTGGTTTTGGACATCTAGGTCTTGCAGAACCTGTTGTTTTCTAACTTGACTAGAGCAGTATTGACAACCTATATATTGTGGACAGTGGCATTGCAAGTGTCTTGGTGATACCTTGCTGACTTTGACTGCCTTCTCATCTGCTGATATCCTGGGATCCTTTTGTTCATGGCATGTAAGGGGCATTGCAAAATAAATCACACTTTTCCCCGAAGTAATAATGATGAACTTGGTAGGACTGCGAATATCATCACTCATGAGAAAACATCATTTCAATGTACTCTTGGGTGTTTGACTCTTCAAATTTCATTTTTTGCGAAACTTTTGAATCATGGTGCTCACTAGAACTTAGGTTCGTGTTGCATGTGCTGCCTTCAGACGTGCTCTAAGAATTCAAGTCTTCCAATCAACACATCACAATGCCAGATTTGAAAAATCCGATTAATGCCTCAAAAGTTTCAGAGTTGTTGAATTTGAAAGAGTGGTCCATGAAAAAGTGGTTGAATGTGGATTGGGAACTTTCCTTATTTAAATCCTGCCAAAAATGTCGGAGCAAGAGACATGTCAAAATGCAAGAGACACAAACGTGAAACCTTGATTCATGGTCTCACTGATGTGCTCACAGAGACAGCCACAAAAACAAACATGTTTGTTGCATTGCTGAAATCTTATACAAATTGATTAAAACTCATGCGTGAAAACAATGGTGGCCCAATCAAGCAATATTGATACTTGGAATTACTTTTTTGATTGAATTAAAATATTATTCTATTTTGTTATGCTCTCTGGGAAAAAAGTGTGTATTTTTTTTTTTTTTTTTGCAATACCCCTCATGTTTGTATTCTTGTGATCTTTACGAAGCTATGCCCATTTTTATACTTCAGGGTTATTTGCATATGTTGTCATAGAGATTGGTTGGCTATATATGAATATAACTTTTTATTTCCTATGGTGTTCATCAAGAACTACATTTTTTATAAGAGGCTATTCTTTTACTTTTCCTGATGTAAAGTTATTTTTACTCGGTATCTACTCACCTTTCTTTTAAAAACAAACAAACTTATTTATTCTTTCTTGTCACACTTGTATTCTGTTTTTGTTATAGCACAGAACTAATTCTGTTTGATGAGAACAATTCTAAATGTTATTCATTCATTTACTTCAGTTTGATCATTACCAAAGACAAAATAGCATAACAAAATTATCTAATTTGTATAAAAATCATAGTCAATTTGTATATTGATTGCTTTAATGCTTGACAAGCTGGGCAACTAATTACAGTTTAGACTGGGCCCAGCTTGCTAAAAGTGAATTAGTAACAAGTATTTTGAGGAAAATTAGGAAAACAAGTTGGCATGAAAACTACTTACACACATTAAGACTTTTAGTTATGTTAAATAACAGCATGTTATTCTACAATAATAAAAAAATTTTAATGTTTTTTTTTGTATTCATTCCCAACTTTCTGTATTTTTCCAAAAAAAAAGACCAATAGAATTATCCAGTATGATTGTAAAATCTCATCTAGTAGATGTATTAATTTCTTCATTAAACAAATGTTTTATTCCATAATTTGTTGAATATATATATTTTTTGTCCGTTTTATGGCTAGCATCACATTCAGTGTAAACATTAGATTCTAACCTATTAATATTAAAATTTTCTTTCAATTTGACTATTTTTTGTGGGAAAAAATGCATACAATGTATAAATTATTTAAATATCTGATGATTGTTTTTTATAATAATGAGTATGTATGCTCATTAAATTTAAAAATGTTTTAAAAAATCTAAAAAATGTTTTTTTGAAATAATGATATATTATTTCGTTGAACAGAACTGACCATTCTATATAGCTCAGTGATATAGATGATTTATTATAAAAAGTATCTGATCAATATAAAAAAAAAGGGGAAAAATATTGTGTTAAAGAGTCAATTGACAGCAATACTACTATGAGATTTCTAGATTAAAAAAAAAAGTTTTTCCAACCACAAACCCAGATATTTTATTTTGCCTTTTTTGTTATTTATAATGTTATCATATTTCACATTATTAACTAAAATTGTGCACTGGTAAGGCTAAACTTGTACAGTTTTCAAATTTTAATGAAATGTTTTTATATTTTGAACCATAAGGTATAAATATTTAAATTGTTGTTTAATGAGAAAGCAATTTCTTTTAGTTAACTGCCTCTGTAAAATGTGGTGATATCATTTGATTGGAGTGAAAGATTTGGCACATCATTAATATGAATTTAAATAAGAGGTTGAACCTAGTATACACCTCTTTGTGACTTCACATATTACACTGTTAAATGTTTATGTAAAGACATATAAATGAATGTACTACGTACAGTTAGATGGATAGCTTTAAAAATTCTTCTAATTCCATAACAGCAAAGCATATCAGTAAAGTAAAATGATCAATTGTACTGAAAGCTTTTTTAAGAAAAACAAAACTGCACTTGGAGTATAACTTAATTTTATGGCACAAACATTCAACAAAATTTATCAGTACAGTTTTTGTTCTATATTACCAATTCTTGAGAAACCTACTGATTAAATGATATAATCTGTTTAAAAAAATTGTTACAAAAAAATTGCTTGAAAATTGCCACTTTCAAACACTGAAAACTTCCTTGAATTACACATTCAGTAAATCAAAGAAGTACATACCACATCATGTATTAACAATGGATTCGAACCATCATACCCAATACAATGATTGACTTTTTTTTTTAATTAAAAAATCACTGAACTGTATTGGATAAAAAAAAGAAACTTTCATAACTCCAGAAATCATTGAGATGTGTGTGAACCAACCCATCAGTTAAATACAAGAATGGTCCTGTAAAACTAAACCTAATATGTATACACACCAATGTGTAACTAAATTCTCATGTCTGTACATCTACCCATCTTCTTTAATTAAACTTTTTCATCTCTAGTCAGCTATTGTAACTAATCTCTCTATATGATTCTATGTGCTCCATATTTCTACACAACTGTTTTTAATTATTCACTTTTCTGAGGTTGTTGTGGTTTTGTTTAACACTGGAAATTATAGTCTCAGCCCTACCAGTAGAAACTTATGTTATTATTGTCAAATTCCTAATCTCAACATATGGAAGTCTTAGTTTTTCCAAACTATTCATCTATTTAAAACAAAAAATCTTTACTGTTACTGCTTATTTTAATCTAACCATAATGATAAAATGGCTACTTTGTCTTATAGTTAAGTTTGATCTAAAAAATTCTTAAAATGTTAAACGTTAACTTATAAAGTGATAGATTTTCATAAGGTATAAATTCTGTTAACATACTAACACATGAGAAACATTTAAGCTTATAGTCTTTAGTAGTCTTAGTTGTTATAATGCTGACATCTTCAGTAATTACTGAAACACTTAATTACTGTAGCAAAAGCTTGCAAGGTAATATGCTTGTGAATGCATGGCAGGAATAAATAAGTGTTTTGCTTGGTTTGTATGCTTGAATTAATGGCTTTAGTGTTATAATAAAATTTTTAGCTAGTTCTATTAAATTATTCTATTCTATCTGAGCCACTTTCACCACTTTTCTCTTTCTTCCTGCTCTTACACATAGATGGTAGTTCTGGTCCAGAACGAAGCAAAACTGTCATTCAACTTGATGCAGGTAGGTTAATGCTTTCCAGCATGTTAAATCTATTGGCCATTCTGTTACTGTTTTTCTTTAAGTTGTCAGATATCTATCAGATAATAGCTCAGAAAAATAATGTATGCTTTATTGTAACTGTGAATGAAAAATCAAATTTTGCTTAGCTTCTTGTCTAAGTACTGATGTCTGATTTGATGATGCTTTTATGATTTTTTATTTAAGCATACTTTTCTAATGTTTGTTGTCACCCAGCTGTGTGGTTTTTTACTTTACTTTGTCTCATTATTCCTTTCATTTAGGTAAATCTATTTATCAAATAATGTAACCATTTATTTATACCTTCTCTTTATTGAGAAGTCTCCTTAGTTATTTTTATTTCTTGTCTTAATTTTCTTCTGTTCATCTGGTTTGGTTTGGTTTTTCTTCTTTTCTGTTCTTTTAAAGTCAAAGTTCCAATTCCTGAGAGTAAACCCCTAGCCAAACCTGACTCTGAGGCTGGCCAAATCGTCATTCGAGGTGGGTATATATCTCTCAATGAACAGAAAGTCAATCAGTCATCATATCTTTGCTTTCTACCTCTGGATATTTATCTAAAAGTATCTACTTTCCTCAGCTTTTCAAGTTGTATGTATATCTTATGCTGTGTTGTTTAATCATAATCACATAAAAAAGATGCATGAAACACATCATTGGGATTAGGAAGGATACTTAGTACATACAAAAATTGCAGGTTGTTATCACTTCATTTTCCAGAATGACAGATTTTTTTTTGTGCCAAAGTATTTTTTCATATAATCACACAAGATATATCTGAGTACTGTCAATCAAGGGTAAAAAATTCCAGAAACAATCAAATGGATAAAGCAACGTAGAGATTAAATGTGTAAATAGATTTCTCTTCAAGAGCAATAACTAATGTGAGTATTTCTGCTCTCACTGAAAAAAAAATATGAAGATTTTGTTATCATAAGTTGATTTCAGGGAGGAAATAAAGGGGGAACAAACTATGATATGGTAATGTTAGTACATTTGGCCTAAACAGATCCAAATTGTACTAAAAATTGAATCGTGATGTTGCTACTGTAATTTATTATTTAAATGTTCAAAGACATTTTATGATTGAGCCATGTCATTTTAAGTTTCTGAATTAATGAAAAAAATCTAAGACTATATTAGCATTAAAAGACATCACATAATCAAAAGAAACAAATAGTTCAAATGGGCTGTTTTTATTCCAGAAGAGAGATTTTTCATAGTTTTCTGTGTGGAAATAGTAATGAAGCTACTAACTTATTATAACTTGTCTTCAATATTTTTATAACTATTAGTGCATACAGTAATATGCCTACATGTATGTACCTCAAGCTTACTTTCTTGTCAGACAAAATAATAAATGAGCTTCTGTTGGTAATTTGTTGGACATTAGACTAAAATAATGTATTATGCACATATTTTGATTAAATTAACAATTTTCATTACTGAGGGTTAATTTCCATTCAGAAGAATGATGTTATCCTTGGAACTAATTCCTACATTATTGAGCTTGATCACTATGATAATCATGGTTAGGCACTATTTTCCAACACCATATTTTTCATTTCAACAAAAAGTTTATACAAAGGAAGAGGACATTAGACATCTCTTGACAGACTTTTCACAAACTCTACATTATACATGGACATTGTCTGCAATGATCATGTTTAAGAAGACCAAAGGCACTTCAGTCGATTGGAGCTACATCAAAGAATTTGACAAGAATGTTATCAAAGGGAATTACTGTTATTACTGGCCATTTGGTCATTGTTTTCATAAAAATAGTCGTTGCAAGACTTTGAGGTACATATCTGACTTGAAATTTGTGAACTTGAAATTCTGTTTTACTATTTTGTTAATTTACCACCAAGATATGCCCAGATATATATATATATATGGCTAATATCTCCACAGTTCACACCTGTATCATCATGCTATTATTTCAGCATATACAAATCATCCTTATAAAGAGGGTTAATTACACTTGATGAATTATATATAGTTTAACTGAATTTTATTATATATTTATTTAAAAAAATCTGATTCAGTGAAATTATCAGAACACATAATGGTTTTAAAACCTAAATTTGCAGTAAATATTTCCTCAGATTTATTGCAATATAACCAATAATTAAATATTATTTCTTATTTGAATGTGAATATTGAAACAAAGGTTTCATTTATGCAGTTGTATAACAAATATTTTAAGTTGTGTATTATGTTGAACATTGAATTAACAATTATATATTCTTTTCACAAAAACAATGCAATTTAATAATTTAAAATGTAATTTCATATGAAAAAATGACATTAATGTACATATGCTTGTGCGATATTGCAAATCTTGGTAAATTTAGGAGCTTGACACCTATAAAATAAACAGTATGTTCTTTAATAATGTGAATTTTCATGATGTTTGCATGTTCCCCATCTTCTATTTTATGTAACTTAACTAACTTTTCTATATTACTTTCCTATCTTCTTGTTTTCTTAGCTATAAGGAACAATAATGGTGGTGCTGTTGATTGTAAGTATGAGGTTTCTTTTTTCTTTCAATCCTTGTATATAAAGATAATATGCTATAAGCTTCCATCTCTATTGCACTGACTTCTATGTAGTTTTTCAACTTAGCTTAACATTGGCTTTAATAACTGTTTAGATATATGATGCTCAATAAGTATATATGGACAGATTATTCAGCAAAGTAACTGTATTGTCTTGCATGCCATCTTGTTGTTACAAGTTTCAAGATATTATGGTCAGGTAATACAGTATTAAAAATAGCTTTTGTGAATCCTGTATAATTGTTTTGGTTGGAACCATAAAATATTTTCCTTAAAAAGATTAGGTAAGCAAATGAGTACTACACATTGTGAGAATATGAACCAATTGTAAGAAACACATGAAAATATAATTATCTAGTTAAATAGTTAAAACTCCTCTCTGCTTAATAGGTATTGATTATGTAGTAAATCTTCAGTATTTTTTTGGTTAATTGCATTGTGTAGGTAAAAAACAACACAGTTATCTCTAGTGTTAGTGCAAACATAGAAAACTTGGCAAATGCATTATTTCTATGTGTTTACTGAGTAGATTATCAGTTATGAAGTAGAATGTGCATGTTAAATTGAATTGTTATACGGGTGACATTGAAAAAAATAAAGTAACGTATCATACAAATGGCAACCTGTATTCAGTTTTTAATGTTCTTGTATGTTAGTTGTTTCATTATTTGTTTTGTTTTATCCCTATATGGATGTTGGTTCATTATCAGTATTGGAAAATCCTACATACAAATTCACATATCAATTTTCAAACATTTTCTGTTGGTGTTATTTTGTGTATTTATTAATTTTATTATATACATAGCAGAAACATTGTTTAAGACACTCCAGAAAACATCACTGATGTGCAAAAAGAAGAAAGTTATCTGAAAATGAAATATTGTCCTATCCCCCCTATGAAAAGGAATAAAATATCTGAACTGATGCCTTGCATGCTATTCACATGTTTTATTGCTTAAAGTTTCAAATATGGTTAAGTTTCATGAGCTAAGGAAAAATTTTTAATTGCATATTTGTAGCCCAGTACAGTAGCTCATGTGTTATACCCTTTAATTTTGTAGGATTAGCCTTTTTTGAGGGTATTTTCTGGGATTCTCTTCTAAGTTTCTATTATGAAGTAATGTGAAAATATCCCTTGCAGAAAACAAACATACTGTTTGACAGTTCCCACTGTTATTAGCTGTTCAACATTCCACTGCCTAAAAACTGAAAATTTGAAAACAGAAATAGCTGTTTTAAGTTTTAGAAGTGTATTTAAAGAAGAAGGCATATTATTTTTTAGGCTTGAGTCTGACTTAAGAATTTTAGTTTCTGTGTATGTTCTATGGTATGTTTAAAAAACAGGCAAAGATTGGATACATAAATAAGGTTTTTTTCAGTTTATATTTCTTTTATGAGACATTAGTAGTTAAGTACTCTGACGTACACATTTCTGTATAAGCTACAGAACTGTAAAATTTATTTAAACGTGTAATGTATGAATAAGGAATTGCTAAAAACTGAATTATGCACTATTTACAAATGATATTTATTTGTGATTAGGTGGTATTGTGACTTAAATACAGATTCACTGAGTGAAGGTACATTTTGTAAATCACTATGAACATCAGTGAACATGTACTTCACGTATATGTACATGTTAGATACTAATAGTTCAGTATTAAAAAGTGAGAGATACATTTTTAAAAAAGTTTATACAAATTAAGTAACCATAGTTTTGTAAAATTATATCAGTAAACATGTTCTAGAATTGAATTCAAATGGTATTAAATGTAGTTAAAATTCCAGTAAAACAAACTAGATAAATTATTTAGTTATGACTAGCTTTAAGTTTTATCAGTATTTTTATCCATTTACTTTATGCAATAAATAGTTGATAAAATGATTAAGCACTATTATTGATTGACTACACATGATGGATATGAAATAACACTGCTTTTTGAAGGTTCAGATAATATTGATTTTATCAGCTTGTAGTAATTTTAGTGTTGGGTTTACATGTTGTACCATCTAAAACTTGCATACTGTTGTTGTATGTTATATTTTTAATGTTTTAATTGAGACATTTTCAAGAGAGAGCATGTCAATTTTATGATGATATGAATCTAGTAATTATGGGCAGTATCTTAAGACAAGGATATATCTTTTAAAAATATGAGTAACCAGTTAGTAATGAATGAAAAGATGATGAGAAATTAGTGAGTTTGAGCCCAACTTAAAAAACATTTTTCACAACTCAAGGGTTACAGGTGAGATTTATTGCATTTATAAACAAGGAAATTCTGTAAGTAAGTTTATTTGTGAATTAGGAATACTTACCATAGTCTTTGAATTTCTGTTAAAAAGTTTCTGTGCACTTAACTACAAGTGAAAATAGTGTGTGTAGCAAACGTTAAGGAAGAGAGAAACTAATTTGTTATTGTTGCATGGACTGAATTTTGCATTATTTATTTTTCCCAAATAATCCAAAAAAACCTTCCAAATGATAGTACACATTACAACATCTTCAAGAAATATGTAAATTATGTATCAATTTGAGATTAGTGTCTATATATGTATAGTAATAATTTAATAGAGAATAAATACTTAAATTTTTATAGTACATGTTTATGTTCAAATGTAATATTTAATTTGTGTGATTCTTCAGGTATTAGTCATTAGTTCCATTACTCAAATACTGTTTTATTTCCTGCAGCACGCAAGTCAGAGATAATCAAAATCACAGAACAACTTATAGAAGCCATAAGCAGTGGTGATTTTCAGAGTTACACGTAAGTTATGTAAAATTTTAATGAAAGTCTTTACTCTAAACCAGGGTTTCTCAAACTATAGTACACGTACCACCAATGGTATGCCGGTTGTTGTCAACTGGTATGCCAAATGAGTCATTTGTATGGTACTAGTTGTTCTGAAGTAGATAAGAAACTATATAGTGGTACAAAAATTTGATCAACACTTGAAAAGTGGTATGCCTAGAAATAAGTTTGAGAATCCCTGCTCTAGACCATGGGATCATAAACTTTTTAGTTTGAAGCCTCCAATATCTTAGACATCTTGACTAAGGACTCACACTTAATGATTTAACAAAAATTTTAAATAATAGCCACTTTTGAGATATATGACTTTTTGTTAATTGAATAAAATCTCAAGCATATATATAATTTTGTAGTCGTATTTATTTTAATAAATAAGATTTTCACTGAAAATATTGCTTTGATATCAGGTAAGATTTATTTCTACATGTGGTGAAGTCCCTCTAAGACCATCATGCACTCCATCTCATTTTTTATTCTTAGCTAATGAAATGATATGAAGATATGTCAATCCCTTCCATAAAGCTCACTTTTGTAATTTAAACTAATAATAGCTAAGTTATTATTCTACTAATTGTTTGATCATTATTGTGTTTGTTTTTAAAGTCTTGATTTTTTTTTCAAGGAAAAAAAGTATGTTTAAATGTATAAAACACTACATTACAGTTTTAACTTTTAAAGCTTTTATTTTTGCAGGAAATACTGTGATCCCCACTTAACATCTTTTGAACCTGAAGCCCTCGGAAATTTGGTAGAAGGAATGGATTTTCACAAATTTTACTTTGATAATGGTATGTAAGGGATTGCTTTTTTGATAATAGCAGTATTACTTTCCACTTTATTATTATTGATGTTAATTTTGTGTATTATTAAATGATGTTTTGATATTATTCTTCAAATACCAAAAATAACATCTAAGAAAGGTATGTATCCATATTTCTTTCAGGAATAATAGTCAGCATATTTTCAATTCCAGTCTCAAAGCTTGTTTGAAGTTTGTTGGTGTCATCCAGTTTAACCATGTGATTTAGCTTGGTGGTGTTTTCCTTTTAACTGTTATTTACATCTAGTTGTTGTGTAATTCACCTAATATCCTATATTTTAGAGATTAAAGCTATGTTGAAAGCAATTAATATCATTGGAAATCTTTAAGTTTTTCTCAAACTTTGATTGAGATTCTATCACTCTTTATGCCATTAAGCATAAATCCTATCCCTTGTCCTAATTTTACTTATCTGATTTTGCATCTGATAGGTGAACTGGCATTGTATTGCACATACTTTCTGTTGCTTACTTACCTTGATTTATTAAACTTACCTGATTTTTTGGGACTGTACTATAGTTATAATTTTCTACTGTATTTGTTATTATCTTGATTTACTAGTTCTATCCAGATTAGTTGGGATTTATGAGCTTATAGCTTTAAGTTTCATTCCTATTTCCACTATTTTAATTCTACATAGAAAGTCTTTTAACTTCCAAATTCTAAGAGATAGCTTGCGATTGTCTTTGTGAAACCAGCTTGTTAGGGATGATTTATTTCTTAACCCTATCTGTATAAGTTTTAGGTTCTTAATTTGGAATAGAAATATATATAAACAAATTTTTAGTCTTCAGTTCTCTGTATGATGTGACATGTTTTTACTCCAAATTGTTCGTTTTGGATTTTCTCTTTATTTCTATGTGATCTTTTGAGTTACACACTAATAATACAATATTTTTAGTCATCCTTTGTCACATTCTTTCTTTCAAAAAATGTCATTAAATCTGTTTGACATTTGTTGTTGGATTATCTATTATCAATAGAAAAGTACACTTTTAATTTACTGAATTGTTCTCTGAGTTTATTCCATTCTAATGACAGACTTTAAATTATTTTGCTTAAGTTTCTTGGTTTTTTATGGTGCAGATCAGCTTAACCAGCTAAGAGAATTTACGTAAATTATCTATAGTTTAATTAGGAAGCCTTATTTATATTACTTTTAGGAGATTATATTTTTGATGCATGGTTAAATTTTATGTTCCTGATTGCATATTTGAATATTCCATCAGTGATCCATGAACAATAAGAAAAATAAGAGCCCATACATAAGTACTGTTTCTTGTTTGTTATATATTTCTTATTTACTGTTTTAAAAGTTACTAAAATAAAAAAATTAAATTTATTTGGTTATATAAATAAAAATTAAATGATAGCATAAACACATTTCTGATTCAAATGTGTAATTTGAGCATGCAACTTGCATGCTGGTAACTCACTCATTTGTTTATAAAAAGCTGCCCATTGTAATAAATGATTTTTGTACTGTGATAAACGACTTTGCATATACACTGAGAGGGTAATTGCAGGTGTAATGCAGTAAAACAAAAATGAAAATTTGAAAAGCTTTGGCTGTAAGAATAAATAGTGTGTAATGGTTTGTTATGATATGCAGTCATTCTAGAAAGAAAAAAGGGTAGTTAAAATTTATTTAGTATTTTTCAACCTTTTTAGTTTTACCCTACATTTCTGATTTCAGCACAGTTAGTTTTAATTGATATAGAAAGTAGCAGATTAAATATAAAGTTTTACTGAAAAAACTTGATATTCATTTTAGAGGCTCTAGAGGTTATGCAAATGAAATGTGAAAACTATATAATGAAAAAGTCTTTTTATTAACATACAGATCACCATGTACTCAAACTACTGAGAGTCTGGGTCAGACTGACTTTGTAAATTCATAGACAAATCTTTAGTAAAAATGCTTTATTAAAATTTAATTTTCTAAAAGCTTGTCAAATTTCATGAAGATACACATAATAAATTCAGAATTATAGTAAACATTGCTATGTATAGCTTCACAGAAATAGAGACTAGTGCAATGCACCAATACGATTCACATAGGGTTAATCCAGTATAGACTGAATAGGAATTTACCAGTATTACTTTGCTGTTATCCTAATGTTGTAAATCTGGGTGAAAATCTTTAAATGTGCTGCTCATTTCTTTATTTTTATATTTGTAGAGTCCTCAGTGGCAAGTTCATGGTTAGTTAATTGTTGAAGTGAAATTTTCAGTAATATTGAGTTATTTACTTTGCTTAGTTTTATTCATACTTAAATGTATATATGTAGTTTGTGTATGTGTGAACATAATAAACATAGGTCTCATCTCACAGATTTATATTCATGATAATAATGGTTTGTTAAAATAATATACTAGCCATAAGAATCCAAAAACTACACCAGTAAGAAATATTTTGTATGAAACTAACTTGTGAAATACACTGAAAGTTTTATTTGTTAGTAATAATTGTTATTTAGTTAATATTACTTTGTTTGTCTATAAGTTTTAGGAAAGAACAGTAAGCTCGTGAACACAACAATCCTCAATCCTGTAGTCCATTTACTTGGCGAGGATGCAGCTTGTATTGCCTACATACGCCTTACCCAGTATATGGATAAGTAAGTTTTAAATAGATGTAATATATAATAAAAATACAAATATTTAAAATACCTATACAATGTTTCAATAAAGAAGCTTTTGCCAGGGTAACATGATGTCCTGTTAGTTTTGTTGTAGTATTTTATTTCATGTGAACCTCATTATCATATAATAAAAGCAAAAGTTCTTGTACTGAAAGAACATCTTGCCATTTATAGTTAAACATTTTTTGTGAGCATGGAAAAAGCTTTACGTTTCACACCATTTTTTTCAGTGGGTAATTTTCACTTCAACATTTAGCATAAAGGGATTGTTAATTTGAAATTAATATTTTTCCTACATTTATGAAATATTTTGCATTTTTGAATTCCTGTATCTTGCTTTTCAGTTATGTATAATGTTTTTTGTCATACTGATGTGTTAGTTTTTGTCTCAGAAACTTTGAGTTAGTACTTCAACGAAGTTTATTAAACATTGGGTTATGTTGATAATGGTCATGTTTACAATCGCGTATTTTGCATATCAAAATAAGACTTTTATTTGGTTATTGGTTTTGTTTTGGCTGTATGTAAAATGTATGCAAGTTTCTTCAACTTGTTATAAGCTATACTAAAAGGCTTTGAACTTACTGAGGCTTCTTTGGAGTCCCATGGGCAAAAATACAAACACACATTACATGTCTGTCAGACTTATAAATCAGGTTTAACTGACCTGGTTACTCTTTCAGTATCAGCCATCCTTTTTTTGAACGTTTTATTTCTGGAAAAGAGAAGCTTTGGGTTCTTATTTATTACCAGACAACAGAGAGAAACATAATACAGTGTCATCTTAACTGATCACCACTGTTTCGTATCCTTGCTTTGCAGCACTGGCAGCATGAAATAGTAGACAACGATCTGCTTCTTTGTGCTGAATATGCACTGTGGGCATTTCCTCATTTCCTAAATACATGATTTCTCAGCACCTATTTTGTAGAAAATGAATTCCTCCACTTGCTAAGTTAACCAAAACATTCTTGGCAAACTTGGCTTTGTTGGTCTTCCTTGGCTAGCCACCTGAAATAACTAATGCCCAGAATAGGAGACAAAAAATTTAATATTAAAACACTTTGCCCATAAGAAGTTTGCTCAGAGCCAGATTTATGTACATGGGACCTGTAGCTTATACTGATTCTTTATTTGTGAAAACGTGACACCTGCTTATAAATGTAAAATTTCCTGTCCATTGATATAAAATTCATGCACAAATAATGTGTATGGGCCAATTATGAATCGTTTTTTGTTTTTTTTTTCTTTTACAAGTTTCTTACATGGTTAAGGTGTAAGGGACCTCAGTCTGCCTTTGCACCTTGGGCCTCAAGTAGTCTAAAAAGTAGTCTGAGCTTGCTACTATATGCTGTAGCAGTAATAAGATTAAAATGTGAACTGTTCGTTTTTAGAACGATGACTTTCTCATTTCTAGTCACATCTTCCCCTTTACAGTTATTTTTAAAAGTTTTCAGCTTTTTCATCATCAGTTGGTCCTTTATTTTGTTTTTGATATGTTAGTTTTGAGCCTTATTGTTTTGAATCTTCATCTTATCTTAATGTGTTCTGTTGAAGGCAGTGACAATATCCATTTGGATTATTTTAGCTGTAGAGATGTTGTAAGGAATCCCAAAATCTTCAAATGGATTGATCTAGTTCAGGAGCTCACTTATTGTTTCCAATACTGCCTTAACATCTTTTAGTACTGCTCTCATTGTTCAAAATCAGCAATAGTGCTCGAGGCATGGCTGTGTTAAGGCTATCTCAGGCTACAAGATTTTAAACCTCAATACTCCAAATGGCTGTTACTTATTAAGAGTAGAAAAGAAAGCTTCCAAGGTTTGCTGTGGAAAAAACAAAAACCAGATAATCTTTGATAAAGACCTTTCAAAACATGAAGTTAAAAAACTTGCATCATTTGTAGAGACCTTTTCTCTTTTACCACAATGATTTCAAACATGAGAGAATAGTACTACAATAGTGCCACTTTGTCCATAAGGCAGGTAACCATAATTATCATAATAAATAATCAACTTCTTTCTGGTTGCTTCCTTAAAATATAAACTCGTCTTCTTTATCAAATTTATTGTCATGAGACGTGATTCACACCATCCAATCAGAACTGTAGTCACTGCCAAGTTTGTATAGACATTTCTTTCTTCTGGATGTTTATCTACAAAATGGAGGAACATGTTGATGCAGTGATACAACTTATTAAAGTTTGTGACTGCTAAAACAGAACAGAATAAACTATGATTGATTGAGCAATCAGTCTGAACTGAACACTTTGTTTTTTTACTGTTATGTTTTTGCAGCTCAGATATCATGAAGTAATCGTTAAATTTTTTTTAAACATCTTTTTCTGTTACTAGTTTCTAGGTGGTAAAGAACATTTTTGATGAGTAAGAAAATGCAGCCAAATTGAAAATAGAAAATTAGGCTATAGAAAATTTGGTGGGACCAGAGATTGTTTCTTTTTAGAGCTCCAGTGACTCCATGGATAAAACATTTAGAAGAATGGTATTACAGGATCTGTACTGCCTTTGGAATTACTTTCTCCAAGCTTAATTTTGCTTAAACTAATATCCATGATAGCATAACATTACAATTTCTATCGTACCTAGCTTCTGTGAATGATTAGAAAGGATTATGATATAAAAAAAGCTTTGTACAGTATCACAAATTTTCATGTCTTGATCATGTTTGTTTTTGGGATTATTAATTTTAGAAAAAAAAATTAAATCTTGATTATGCTTTTATCATAGTATGTTTAAATTTTTATTTGTTAACTTTTGCACTGTCATGTTCGTAGATAAACGCCTCTCTGTCATAACTCTTTCACTAACATCTTAATAGATAACTCTGCCAGGGCTAGCTTCATTTCAAGATACAGAATCAAACATCTAAGACATATGTTTTAATATTTCATTACTTACCTGACACTTGAAACTGATTAACTTTGAGAAAGTGGAAGGGAGAGTACTCTTGCTTCATGGTAATATGAAATTCCAAACTTAGTGAAAGAGTTATTCATGACTTCTGTCTTCAAGCAGAATCCATAATTTCTCAAGTACACTATCACCATAATCAGAAGGTATACTGGGTTTATTCAAATACCCCTTCAAGTACACCACTATTACAGTGAGATATAGTCATTGCAGTGTTAATAGTTATTACAGTCCTACTTTAAATTAAAAAGATATATAAACTTACAACTAAGTAAGGTGCATTTTAAAGAGGATTATGTTTATCAAGTTAGCTATATTCTTGATATATACATTTTTGGTTTTTTTCGTGAGGGTTTGGAATTTCTTGCATAAACAGAAATGTCAAAAACTAGTAGGAATGGTATTCTGTGTCTTCTGTTAGTAAATAGTGCTTTGACTTGTAAACAAGTAATTATGTTGGAGTATATTTTGTTATGTATCTAATGTACTCTGGAATCAAGTATGAATGTTTTAACAATGAATATATATATATCATAGAGCTTTAAAGTAGGCTTTCCCTAACCTAATTATTTTAAAGTTATGAAGGTTAAATTCTGAAAACAAGCAAGTTGATCATTCTAGCTAAAATGTAAACATGTACATTTGTGAAGATAGTTCAGCAGTAAGTATTAACAGAGAGAAAGAATTTAATAAACGTTAGTTACTACAGTACAATTTAAATGATTAAACATTAGAACTTAGCTGAAGACAAATTTGGATTATACTTTTTCGAGTTGAGTAAACTTGTTATAATTTTTGTTTGTTTTTACGAATTGGAAGTGCTAAAGAATTATGGTTATGCAAAGCGTTTCTTTCTTCTCAGATATAGAAATTGTTGCTGTTGCATTTTAGGTGTAAAATGACCAAAAACATTAAATTTACATAAAACACCATACAGTCATGTAAAACTTGCACATTATATAAGAATTGAATACATTATGGTGATTAATTGTTATAACATTTTGCTGTTAAGTCTTGTTGTCTTGAGATGTATATGTATTATGTTGTAGGTTTATGTTTTGTAATGTACTATAGTTTCAACTTTTCAGTTCTTGAATATCAGTTAATTCTGTGTAAATTAACTTTTTCACTGTTATTTTGCAATTATCTGCAAATGTGTAACATGTATTGCAAAATATGACATTAACAAAATATGTTTTTATCTCTAATTTTACTTTTAATTTCTCAGTTGTAAATGATAGCTTATCTTTTTCCAATGTTTGTATATTTAATATTATTTGATCATACTCTTATTTGTTCTGAGCACATCTTACCTCTCATTTCAAGTTTTTTGTAAACTGTGGTGATAACACTGGACTAATTGTGTTACAGATCAGGGATTGCTCATACTCGGCAATCTGAAGAAACCAGAGTTTGGCAGAAGAAGGATGGAAAATGGCAAAATGTTCACTTCCACCGTTCAGGTTCACCTTCTTCTCCCTTTGCAACTTCCTAAAAATCAAATCAGGGTATTTTTTTAGTCAGTCTATCAGCTTTGTGGGCTTTGGCTGTGGTCAGTTCAACATGGCTATCTGTTTTGTACCCACAGTTTCAGCCTGTGTGTTTTGAAGATATGTGTGATCTAAGAATATTTTTCCCCTCCTGCTTCTGCTCAGACTTTTTCTCAGCATTGAGCTGTATGTATAGCATCTTAAAAGATTGAAGTAAATGATACAAAAAGAAATGTGAAAGTGGAAGCCACAGACCAAGCAGCAGCTGTGAAATGACTCTCAACTGAATTTTGCTTTAGATATTTCATACAATCTTCTTCTTATTATCCTTGTGCTAAAGTCAAATGTAAAGCCAAATATTTGATGAATGTTTTTGCATATCATGTTTTAGACTGTTTCTATTAGCTGTTTCCGAGAGTTATACTGTTGTTATCTGATTAAGGTTGTAAGTGTTTAACACTGATTGAAGACTTGTAAGATATATTCACTTCTGTTAAGCTCTACTAACTGAATAGGTATCAGGTGTAAAGGATAGTCATATAAGATCTTAAGTGTAAGTATAAATTTAAAGCAGTTCAAGAATGAATAAATATTAACTGTTATGGAATGGGATGATATTAAATTCAGTTGAAGACCTTATATTGTTTCTAGACTTTGTTTCACGAGTATTGCTTCTAAAATATGAAAAACGTACTTCTAATCACGCACTTAATAGCTACAAAGTTTTTAATAACTTTCCAAACATGAATAAAAAAACATTTTATGAAACTATTATTGAAAATTTGAGATTTTATTGTTGGATGTATTTTACTTTGTTTTTGTTTTTTTTAAAGAATCAGTTATTGCTTGTTGCAAGTTTTATTTTTGTGTAGTCTTTAGTTTATGGGTTGTTTCCTTTATGTACAAAAATTATTTATAAATGTTAAAAATTTAAATTAAACTTTTTATGTCCTAAGCCCAAAAAAGATCAAATATGTGTAGGTTTAAACTGTTTTTTCCTCTATACTCTTTATCAGAATGGGGCTCATTTATGGGTCATCACTAAAAATTTTACTTTACTTTCTTCTGTGCTACATTTCTTATTTTACAGAATGATAAGTTATATATGGTTGGCTGATTAATTTATCACAGGAAAAAGAAATAATTACAATGTTCTCACAAGCAACTGTAGAGATTTAGTTATAAAAGAAACATATTCAAATGAATATTTTTAATACTTGCTAACCCAAATAATTCTGTAGTACAGTAGAAAATATCTTATTTCACAAAGTAGTTACTGCTTTACAAAATATTTAAAAGTATAAATTGAGTTTAATAATTATTTGAAGATTTAATTCTTTGTAAACATTTCTTTCCGTTAATAAGGTTCTTTTTACTAAACACCAAGAAAAACACTGTTGTAGAGCACTTGTGTTCTACTATTGCTTGATTTTCAGTTAAAGAAAATCAAGTGCTTCAAGTTATGTGTTTTTTTCTTTTTTATAACTTTTACAAACAAAGTTTTATTGTATTTAATCATGGGTGAGCTAAGAATATGTGCTAAATGCTTCATCATATTGCACATATGGGGGCTATATATTTTTGAGTTTATATGTAACAAACAGTATATTTAGTTAATATTCCATTCTTTTGGAATAATGAATCTATGTTAGTTTGAAAAATGTTAGTGTTTTGAGTTCATGGACTTACTGGTGAATTTATTGTAGTCATTGAAAATGTAGTTTACAGAAAAATAGCTTGAACATCATCTTAGTTCAGCACCATACTAAAATGCTAGTAACGAACATGTTTATTATATTAACCATTCTACTGACTTTCTTGTACCACATATTTCTGACTTGTTTGATGTATTATAACATTAGAAAAGATAAGAAAGCTTTCTGTAGACAGAGGAATCTTTACTTCTGGAACTGTTCAAGTTTGTGTAAAGTACTCTTTATGCATGTTAATACTGCACATATTAATTGTGCATATAGACATGTTGCCATAAAGAATCTCTTCTGATTCAGTGTGTCAGATATATATTGTCTTAATTTTGCATAAGTTGATATTTGATACAGGTGATGTGATTATTTATGTAGAATTAAGGAAGCTGGCTTAATTGTTGCTCTGGAAACAAAATAGAAATCATTGTAATTAAAGTTTGATACCTAAAAAGAAGTGCATATTTTAAAGAAATTGGCTCATTATAGTGAAAAAACATATCTATAAAGATATTAGCTTTAATACTGAAACGAAAGGTCAAAGGGGATAAATTCATTATACTGTAAACAGAGTAAAGGTCCAGAGGGCAAGGATTATTTTTTATTAAAACTGCACCCAGGTTTAGCACAAGACAATTGTGGTACTGAAATCACATTTTAGGTCTAGGCAAGTATATTCATCATAGTTAAAATAAATAGTATGCCCATACAATTAGTACAAAACATAGATTTTGTAGGTAACTTCATTATAAACATAAGCCTGGAAAGTGAGGTTCATTGTAGTGAAAATACAAGTCTTTGAAGGTGTGTTTATAGAGTGTAGGAAACAAAGCATATGTTTATGGAGGGATACCGATTGTATTGAAAACAGAACTTAGATATAGAATAGGTTGTTTATTGTATTGAAAGCATCTTGGGTGTAAGTTCATTGTACTGAAAAAAAAACAAGTATAAGGAGGTGTACTTTTGTATTGAAAACAGAAAATTAGTCTGTTAGATAAAACAAAACTTACTGTTTTGAAAACAAAACACAGGTATAGTGAGGTGTTTATTGGAGTTCATACTAAAAAAAATGAACAAAATGTTGAGTTTGGTGTATCTTTTTATTGAGAACTGAACTTAAGTTATGGAGGGAGGTTTACTGTGTTGAAAACTAAAAAGTAGGTTGGAATGCTTAAGGTATTGAAAACAAATCAAAACAAAACATAAATGTAACAATGGAGATTCTTTATATTAAAATATCATGAAATATACCGAGGATTATTAATTGTATTGGAACAGAATACTTGAATTGGAAAGTGCATTCATTTAATTGAAGAAAAACAAACATGTTTATGTATGAAGTTCACTGTAGTCAAATCAGTATGTATGTCAAGGGAGGGGAGCTTATTATCTGGAATCCCAAATTACATTTAATGAAGGTAGTTTTTTTGTGCTGAGGTCTAAGATTGTAGTTATCATGTGCTGTAAACATATCAAATATTAGGAAGTTTATTACGCAGATAATAAAATGCGAGTCTAACAAGGTTGGCTTGTAATGAAAACAAACGTGTAGTGAAGAGTTACCCTGATTTAAAACATAATGGTGCATTAATTATATGTAAACACATTATTAAATTAGCCATATAGAAAATTAAACGGCTGTATTAGACACCAATAAAGCATAAGAATAGTCCTTTAGTTTAAGCTGAAAATTGAATTATCCAAGAAATGTAGTTCATTGAATGGAAAATATGTAGTTTTTTGTTTAATATATATTGATAACAGAGGCCTAATAAAGGGCAATTCTCTGCTTAGAAAGTTGAAGTAAAGTCTTGTTTATCGAAATTAAAAATGGCCTTATATATAACTAATTCTCGTTGTAAGTATTTGTAATTTGTAACGATCTTAGAGTTTTAATACTTTATATACATATATGAAAAAAACTTTACTCGTTTTTAAAAGGACATTTATTTTTGCTTTCAAATAATTAATCATTTTTGAGGCAACTTTTGAATTCTGCATTATGTTTTTGAATTTTATTATTTTACCTGGATGCACGAACCGTGAGAGAAATGCATAGCACTGGACCAATGTACATTTTGTTCTCGTGAGGTAACTTATAGTGTGTCCCAAAAGATATGCGTTTTATTTGATGTTGTAAATTAATTAGAACAATACAATTATAATGCAGCTTCAATTAAAGCTTTAATGTACGAGTAAAGTTAGCTTCTGTTGCTTATTAAATCAGAAGATGGATGAATTGGATTCTTTGAAACTGTCAATGCTGCAAATTTCGTGGTATTAGAGACCAAAATAAATTTTTAAAAAATACGTGCGTACATCTCATATAAACGACAAGAAACCAATAACAGAATGTTTCGTAAAAGTTAAGAGGGGTTTTAATAAAACTTCATTTATAACTACGATTTACGCCAATTACACGTATGTATACGCGGTTAATATTAAACTTTTGGGTCATTTTAATGGTTGATTTTAATTCTTATTAAAATAATAATAAGAAAAATAACGTGAAAGTAATTTTGTGGAGACTTCAGTAATGAATTTAAAAATATCCTTTAGCTATCATTAATATTTTTCATATAACTTATGCCTTCGAGATTGCATACTAAACCTCAATTACCTAAACTGAGTAAAAGTTCATTAGCGCTACGCTCAAAAACTTGGTAATTGAATATTATTTAAACATTCACGTTGCTTTGTGTAGTTTGTACAAAAACTTTAAGCAAATGCAGAAAACTTGTGAAACCTCGCATTTCCTCGTGAAGTTGCGCATTTCAACATGTAACACCATGACGTTCCGTTAAACAACAGTTTGTAAAAACACTTGTGCTTCTTTGAGAAAAAAAAATGCTTCACATGAAACCTGTAGGAACAGCAACTAAAACTTTACTTATGTTTATATAACTTTTACATATTACTAAATACGAATGATTAGCACTTGTGGATTATTTAAAATTTACTAAATAATTAAAACCAACGTATTTAGAAAATTTTTAAAACTTGTTTGAAGCCGTCAACAATTTCACTTTGAAAGCGCGCTCTATATGTTCATAGTTTCGACGTCCTCATCACATGATTCCTGGTGTCACATAAAAACGCAAAACATCTTTGCATTTTATATATTGTTTATAGGGCTTTACATCTTCAAGACAAGAAGATTTAAGTAACGAACTATTACTGATTAAGTATGTAGCTGTTGAAAGAGGATTTGAACCAAATATAGTAGATATAGCATTTAAGAAGTTTAACAAAGTTCAATGTTAGTTTAAAAAAAAACATTAAGTTCACCTTATATTCCAGGATTAACAAGTCAATTATTTAAAGCTTTAAAGAAGCAACAAAACTTTTATCCCATCTTAAACCTATAGATAAGATTAAAGAAATGTAAGGGAATACTAAGGATAAAATAGAATTAAAACATAAAACTGGGATTTACAAAATAGAATGTGAATGTGGGAGTATTTATATTAGTTAAACTAAAAAGAAATGTAAAATACAGATTACAGGAACATAAAGGTTACGTAAGAAATAATAAAACGGAAAACTCAGCTACAGAAATAATATAATTTAAAAAACAAGAAAATATTAAACAGAGATGAAGGGCCAACAAGTCAGTGTATTGATATTTGGTGTGATGTATTATAAATGTTGACCAAGGAATTATGTAAATAACAATGAATTTTAATATCGCATAACAAGTGGAAAAAGTATAACTAATTGTGTCTTGCAAATAACTCCTGAAGAGGACGTCGAAACAATGTACACGTAGAGTGTGCTTTTTAAATGGAAGCATTGACGTCTTCAATAATGTTTTTAAAATGGAGTAAATATAAAACGTTGACTTTAATTATCTATTACATTTATATTGGAGTATCGGTAATTTAGTTTTTTCCTATTTACAGTTCAGAGCTGCATTCTCTTTAAATATGCATGTTGTTACGGGAAATATATTTGTTATAAACACTGAAAACGTTATTGGAAAAGCACCGAAGACAACTACAATAATACTAAAAGCTTTCATTTATTTTTCTTCCTTGCATATATAATATAGCATTTAGAATTTAATTGCTCTTTTGGCTCGAGATTTTATTTTTTAAACCCTCGGAGTCTTTTTTTTTTTTCTGATATGTTCAAAAAAAGTAATTTTAACGAGTAATGTACCCTGTTCGAGAATTCCAGAGAATATCTCAATTTGAAGGCCGAAACGCAGTTTCCAAACATAATTTCACAGCAACATTTCGTTGGGAGATTCCTCAAGTTGTTGAGCACTTTAACTAAACATTTTTCTGGAGTAAATTGATTAGGGCGTAATTTTTATAGTAAAAGACCAATACTCTCTTTTTTTTTTTTACATTATGCAATATACGAATATAATGTTAAATCATCATTGACAGATATTTATAATTAAGTTGAGCTTTCTATTTTTCTTTTTAAATAAGACTAGATAGTTCTATAAGATACTGGGAGTTCAGGCTGTGGTTTAGCTAACGTTATCATCTTTATTAAGTCGTGTGAAGACAACGCTCACTCCTAATCAGTTTGTGTGAACAAGCGTGCGTTGTCTGGATGGGTATTCGTTCGTTTTGCTCTATCTGGAAGGGTTAGGTTCTATTCAGACCTCTTCCTCCAATTTGTTTGATAATGTCATCAGTTTTAAATTTTGAATTATAATTGGTATGTGCCTTTAAAAGAGTTTTGTCAGGAGATATAATAATGCTTTTTGATATTTGACAGATATATGTACCTTTTTTTTTGTTTTGTTTTTCTGCCCGACATTTAACTTTTAACAAATATAGTTAATGCATATTTAAATAAAGTCATTCTAAATATCGTAATTTTGGCTGAGTTTTTACTTAACTGTTATAATGCGAGTACTGGGATCCAGTACTTTGTGATGAAGTTATATGTATAACTATTCAACATTTTAAAACCTAAAAGTCTCTTCTGACATTAGTCGGTAATATTTTGTTTAAATAACTATGGATTTGCCACCTGAGACTTTTAAACAAATAAAATTTAACTGTATTATTATGCTATGGCATATTTCAATTATTGACTTATGTCTTATGGAAATTATAAACTTATCACTGTAAACTATGCTTACTGACGCTACACACACATTTGGAAGTTCATACCTACTGTGATTTTATTAGAGTAATACAACACCTTAAGTAGATAGAGATAAAAAAAAAACCTCAAAGTTAAGTGTTGGCCTTAACTATGCACTCTACTTCGTTAGAAAATGTCCCCCCCCCCAGTGGCACAGCGGTATGTCTGCGGATTTACCCCGCCAGAATTCGGGTTTTGATACTCGTGGTGGGCAGAGCACAAATAGCCAATTGTATAGCTTTGTGCTTAATTACAAACAAACAAATCGTCATAAAATATTTCATAAATTTCAATATTACCATATTTCACTACTTCAATAGGAAAATTAATTCGAATATAATTTCTAAAAAGTCATTATAACTAACGAATAATAGTGTTAACAAAGCTACAAAAAAGCGGAAATTATTTGCACTACCTTAAGCATAATATTAATTATATAACTGCTCGAACTAAATTCCTCCAAGCAGCGGTTGACAAATAACTTCCTAAGCTTCGCCCCGTAATGTGAAACTTGTTTTCCTTCTTGTTCCTTTTGATGTTTTTATGCAATTGGAGTTTTAGCGAATTGCAGTTAAGAATTTTTATGCCTGGATTTCCTCGTGGGCAGAGATTAATATGTTGTAGTCTCTATGGTGTTTTGAGTCCGTTTTACTTCACCACATAGTAACCTAAACTAATTTAGGTATGTTAATAATGTTATGACATTTCGTCGAATTCATTATTCGATATTATACAGTGGACCAACTGAATAATTCATTCCACAGCAGAGCATACGGCTAATCAAAGAACGCATGAGGCCTCTGAATCACACATACTCTTTTCAGTTTCACCTCTGGGGAATTCTTGAGCTACATGTGGGTGTCTGCTCTAGCCATCCCTAATTTTAAGTGATTTTGTTTGTTTGTAATTAAGCACAAAGTTACACAAAGGGCTATCTGTGCTTTGCCCACCACGCGTTTCGAAACCCGGTTTCTAGCGTTGTAGGTCCGCAGACGTGCCACTGCGGGGGGGGGGGGAGTATTTTAAGTGGTTAATTAGGGAAATGGTACTCAACAAACACCATCCACCGCCATCTCTTGGGCTACACTTGACCAACCAGGAATGGGATTGACTGTCATATTATAATGCCCCCACGGCTGAAAAGGCGAATATATTCGCCATAGTGCAAACAGGAATAGAATACAATATAAAATTTAAACAAATTAAATAAAAATTCTAACTAACCATAGTGAGAGTCTAAATAAAACTTATTAATACTGTTACGTCTCCGTGT